TCCAGACTATTAGAATTAATGAATGAATTAGTGAAGTAGCTGGCTATAAAATCAACATACAAAAAGCATTTGTATTTCTACATACTAGCAACAAACAAGGAGAAAATAATATTTAAAGTAATATCATTTATAAAATCATCAAAAACATCAGCTACTTACGAATAAATTCAGCAAAAGATAAGTAATATAAGGCCTAAATAAATAGAGGAATATACCATGTTTATGGATTAGGAGACTTAATATTGAAATATCTTGATTCCCTTAAAACTGACCTTATATTTAGTGCCATCTCAATTAAAATCCAAAGATCCTTGTTTTGGAAATTGACGAGGTAATTCTAAAATTTATATGGGAACACAAAGGGCCAGGAATAGTCCAGGGAACTGTGAAAAGCAAAAACAAAATAGGAAAATGTACACTACCAGATATAAAGACTTACTATAAGGCTATAGAAATCAAGACAGGATGGGTTTAGCACCGATAGGAAATAGCCCAATGGAAGAGAATAGAGCATCAAGAAACATGCCTACCACATGATCTATAGCAAATGTGTCACTGATGTGCTGTAGAAAAATAATCATATAAATGGTTCTAGGTCACTTGAAAGCCCTTATAGAAAAAAATGTATCTTGACCCCTACCTACACCATATAATAGTCAACTCTTTGTGGGCTACAGATCTAAATTAAAAGGTAAAGCAATAAAGCTTTTAGAAGAATGCCTAGGAGAATATCTTTATGATCTTGGAGTAGGCAAAAATGTATTGAAAAGGGCACAAATACTGAAAACTGTAAAGAAAACAAAGGTTAATTGGCCTATGTAAAGATTAAGATGTTCTGTTTATTAAAAAATACCACAAAGATGGGGTGCCTGGGTGGCTCATTCGATTTGGTGTCTGCCTTCAGCTCAGGTCATGATCTCAGGGTCTTGGGGTTGAGCCCCACATCGGGCTCCCTGCTCAGCGGGGAGTCTGCTTCTTCCTCTACTCCTACCTCCACATGTGCATGCTCGCTCTCTCTGTCTTTCTGTCAAATAAATAAATAAAATTTAAAAAAGGATACCACAAAGAGAATGAAAAAGAGGATGCAAACTGGAGAAGATATTAGCAATCCATATACTCAACAAAAAACTCCTATCTAGAATATATAAAGAGCTCTTACAAATCAAAATAAGAAAGACGATTTAATTAAAAAGGGGGGAAATTTTGAATAAGCATTTCACAGAAGATGATATTCAGATGCCCAATAAACATACAACATGTCAAACTTCATTAGTCATCCAGGACATTAAAATAAAAATCACCACGAAATAACAGGGCACACCCATCAGAATAGCTAAAATGAAAAAGGAAGAAAATACCGAGTGTTGACAGGAATGTGGAGCAACCAGAACTCTCATACATTGCTTGTTTGAGTGTTAGTAGTTAGTTACTTTGGAAACCCAGTACCGCTGAACACATCTGTATCCTGGGACCCTATGATCACACCAAACAGAATTTTGTGTAAATTCGCCACCAGATACATACAAGAATATTCATAGAACCGCTGTTCATAACAGCCCAATCTGGAAACTACTCAGATGCTCATTAGTAGTAAAATGGACCAAGTGTCCATTCTTTGAGTGGAATACTAGACAGCAATGAGAATGAAAAAAATCATAATATGGGCAACAGTATGAATTGTCAAAGACAAAACTAAGCCTGAGACAAAATGAACAAAGGCTGTTTATGCATAAACCTGTGGCAGGAGGACCTCTGCCATCACTTTCATTTCAGCAGGAGCGGTAGAAAGGTGGTAGAAAGGAGAGTTTGTTAGAGTAAATGGGAGTAAGTGGGAGACACTAAGGTCATCTCTGGTTTTCAAACGTTCTGTTATGGCAGAAATTTTGGAAGTGGAGGAGCCTTTCTAATTGGTCTTGAGGTACTTCTGACCATGCTTGGTGGACTGCAAGGGGGCCAGCCCCCTATTGCTTGGCAGAGGAAGTTTCACTCCCATCAAATGGTCTGCATAGCCCACCCAGCCCCGTTTGTCCTGCCTTGTCCCTCGCTCTGCCCTCCAGGAACACCAGCTTCCTTTTGCATCCTCCAAAGTGCCATGATCTCTTCTTCCTCCATCTATGAGATGCTTCAACTCCAGTGGGAGATAAATACACTATCAGATAATTCTAGAAAGGGGTATAAAATTATAAGTGGAACTAAACTATGAAAGAAAGGAACATATAAGAAAAGAAATTGGCTAAAATGGAGAATTAGACCTGCCTTATCTGATAAGGTTTGAGGTCTGAATGATTTAGGGGCAGACAGGCTGGGAGAGGAGGAAGATGAAAACAGTATGTGCAAAGGCCCTGAAACAAGAGAGTATAATCATTATCAGGAATTGAAAGAAAGAGCCCAGAAAACAAAAGGTAAGCAAGAGTCTTACAGAATGTGATGAGGATTTTGGTCTTACTACCAGAGAGGAGTGGTATTTTAAGCAGGTGGTGACATGATAATACTTCATTAGAAAAACCAGTCTCTAACTGCAGGATAGATTGGGAGGCAGCTTAAATGCCAGGAGACCAATTAGAGGGACCTGCAGCAGTCCTGGCCCGAGAGAATGGGCTGGGGTGGTGGCAGTGAAGATGGAAGGGGTTGGGTAGATTCCAGAAAAATGTGGGAGGTGACATTGACAGAATTTGGTGATGGTCTCAATGGAGGTGTGGGGGGGTGCAGAGAAAGTGGGGTATCACGGAGGATCCTGGGATTTTGTTCCCCTGGGGGGATGCCAGTACCTTTTCTGAGGCAGGAGCTCGGTCTGGCCCAGGTCGGGATGGAGAGCAGGAGCCATGCACCCATCGGTTGGGGTGGGGTAAATATGAGATGTTGCTGGGACATGAGAAGTGGCAAGAGGTCAATCAGACAGAGCGAGGGACGGATGTCTGCAGTCCAGAGTGGAGGTCAGAACCACGTAAACAGTTAATTGCCCTTCAAACCTAAGTAGTGGATTTGTCCACGTTTAAGTTTGAGAAATTATTTGATTTTCATTTCTTTGGTTTTTTTCCTCCCCCTTTCTTTGGACAGCTTATTTTAATTTTTCTTTCTACCCCTCTCTTATTGTGTGTTTCTCTTGACCGAGAGGCTTCCTAAGGCTATCACCTCCATCTCTGCGGGTGGGATGGGCCCCCAGCTCGGCGGGCTGCCTTGCCAGATCACCGTGGGGCGTCACAGGCACACAGACCAACGGACCGCAAAAGGGACTGCAGTTGCAAGGTCTTTAGAGATTATTTGAATGTGGGACACAGGTTGGTATTTGGGGTGAGGATATTTTCCAGTGCAGAGGACATGTGCTGTGCCTAGGGGCCGTTCAGATGCATCTTGATGCGCTTGATGCATCTCGGTCTGCAGGTGCGGGCTCAGCCTTCACCCTCCCAGGGGGAACATGTTGTTTGACAGCTTCCAGCATCTGGCGGGGATTCAGACAAAGCTGGTAGGGAGGAGAGAGAAGAGAGGAGGCTCGAGGGGAGGGTTTGTTTCCAAGCATCTATTAAAGCACCTAGGAATGTGCTCGCTTCGGCAGCACATATACTAAAGCACCTAGGAATAATTTTCACAAGTCAGATGAACCAGAATGAAGAAAAGCAGCTCATCTTTCTAAATGAACTTTACTAGGCTGTGCTGATTCAGAAACTCAGAACCGTATTGGGATATATCTGGATCCTGAATCCAAGGAGATTTCACAGTAGGAAAAGAAGGACTCCAAGTGCTTCAGCTGGCAGAATGTTCTAAAGGATTACTGAATTGGTGTTTCGTTCCAGTATTTTTAAAAAGGATGATGCTCCGAAAGAATCTTCTATATTGGTTAACAGTTAATGTTATGAACAGCTGAGGCTGAGAGACCAAAATGTGTTTTCCCCATGTTTTTTTGATATGGCCTATCAGACTGACCCCCACTCTGGGAAGTCCATTCATGGCTGTTGTCACCTCAGTGATTTCTCTGCAGCAGGACATGATGGTGGGCCTGGCGTTGGGCCCAGCTAGTGCTGGATTATCACTGGGGGCGGGGGGATTGTCTGCATGGCTGTGACAGCCAAGGAGAAGCCCAGTGTCTCCTAGACAGGCAAGCTGTTATTTTTTTGGTTGGTGGCATCTCGTTTCTTATGTTCCCAAATCATTTAACAAATGAAATTTCTAGACCAACTGCAATTTTTACTGAGGTTACTTTTCTGCATGGAACTCTATTCCCGTGTGCGATGTAAATATAAAGAAATATGTAAGTGTCTGTAGATCTTTATGTGTGACCAGCGTGCAGGACTTACTTGGTACCACGCACTGTCCTAAGTGTTTAAGGAGTATTAAACCACTGAACGCTCACGTTAATCCTTTAAGCTTGGTGCTTTTAGGATCCTCATTTTATGGATGAATCAACAGTGACATAGTTGGGTCAGTTAGCTGGCCAACGCCACAGGGAGGGTGAGCAGTGGGGCCAGGCCGTGAACCAATGTTGTCCACTGCTGAGACCGACCAATGACCCTTGAACAACGCAAGGGTTAGGGGCACTGACACCCTGTACAGTTGAAAATCTGTGTATAACTTTTGACTCTCCAAAATCATAAGGAGAGAAAACACATTTATAGTACTGTCCTGTATTTATCAAGAAAAATCCACGTGTGAGTGGACCCTTGTAGTTCAAACCCGTGTTGTTCAGGGGTCCGCTGTTCTTCCTTATTGCTGCACCTCTACATTGAAGAGGTGAACGTTTTAAAGATTTATTTATTTATTTATTTATTTATTTGAGAGAGAGAGCGCGAGAGAGAGGCAGGGGGTGTGTGTGTGGGAGGGGCAGAGGGAGAGGGAGAGAGAGTCTTAAGCAGATTCTGCGCTGAGCGCAGCTCGATCCCATGACCCCGAGATCATGACCTGAACCGAAACCAAGAGTTGGATGCTCAGCTGACTGAGCCACCCAGGCGCCCCAAAGGTGAACATTTTAAAATGTGTAGTTCCAATGATGTTTTATTTTCTTTTAGGAGTGACTGGGTGACCTCCTACAAGGTTATGGTGAGCAATGACAGCCATACATGGGTCACTGTTAAGAACGGATCTGGAGACATGGTGAGTTTCGTGTTCCCTCTGTCCATGCCCTTGGTGTCTGGCTATGTGGGTCCCTGCAAAGAGAGGCAATGTGTGCCCCATCGGTATCTGCTGATGCTGTGTCGGCTCAAACCGATGATGGATAATGTCCCCCTCCTCCCTGCCCCGCTTCCATGCCCGGAAGCTCAGCGCCAAGTGGCCCATGTAGAGCTAATGTGAAATTCTGAGCTGCTGGGATGCAGTTTCTTCCACGATCCACCTTGCGGGTGGCAGCCTTGGGGGACACGTGGCACAGGAAATATGCCTGCGCCCCTCACAGCTACGCGGGTGCAACAGTTCTCCAACTTCCTTTAATAATCCATCTTTCCACTCCATGATTCGCTCCAGATTAGCCAGTTCTGATGATCAGGTCACCCTCTTTGTCAGGTTCTCAAGCACATCCTTCCTCCCATGGTATCCAGAATCTTCCACAATCTGATGGCATCTCTGCTTTCAACCTTCTCTCTCTTTCTTACCCCCTGCACACACTTCCCCTGTGTTCCAGGAAAAGAGGGCCAGTTGCTCTGTTCCTTCTGAAGCCCACCTCTGGGCTTCTCCAGTCATTCCTGCTGCTTGTCTCTAGAATCCCTCCCATCCCACAGATCTAAATAGTTTTCCTTCAAGGCCAATTCAAATACCACCTGCTCCCTAAAGCTCTGCCTGGTCCTTTTCTTCTTCTGAAATCCCAGAGCTCTGTGGCTATCCCTCTGCCATGGTACTAATAGACTTCACCCAGATTATCAAAGTATTCCCTCCTCCTCCTCTCTCCGCCACCCCGGTAGATGGGGGCTTCCTGAGGGCAGGGTCCATGCCTGATTCATTTCTCTTTTCCCCTCAATGCCCTGCACACAGTGGGTGCTCCTCAGTGAAATCTTATGGAATGAGTGAATTACCCTTTATCCCTTGATAATCGAGCTCTAAAAGATTCGCCTTTTTCTCCCTTGTGCCTAAGTAGATATTTGAAGGAAACAGTGAAAAGGAGATCCCTGTCCTCAACGAGCTGCCCGTCCCCATGGTGGCCCGCTACATCCGCATCAATCCACGGTCCTGGTTCGACAACGGGAGCATCTGTATGAGGATGGAGATCCTTGGCTGTCCACTGCCAGGTGAGCCTGCCCTTCCCAACTTGCTGCAGGGGTTTGCTGGTGGAGAACAGGTGCCTGGCCAGGGTGACTGCAAACTAAGCAGTCTTGTACTCCTGTAAAAAAAAAAAAAAAGAGATAGTACATCTATTGCAGAATATTTCGAAAACCTAGCTGAGCAGAAAGAAAATAAATAAAAACCTCCCCTAATCCCACTCGGAAACGCCATGAATATTTGGGGGTACCAAAGTGAGGTGCCAACTGTGGTCGTGCCTCCTGGGATTTTAAGATCATGCACGTTTCAGGGCTGAAAATTCACTCAACGCTACCACTCAGAAGCAAGCAAAAAAAAAAAAAAATTAGAGAAAATTTTTCATAGCATATTTAATTATCCTTGAGTGCTCCCACTACTTGGAGTAGAGGAGGTGGCAGAAGTTAATTTTAAATGTGACCACATACACAATCTCTTTCTGTTGATGTTGCTTTGCTTGGGTGCCTGGGTCTTTGGGTAAATGCCTCTTTATTTCCCGCAGCTTATTTTCATATGATGATATCTGGGTGTGACCTCAGGGGGGCAGGAAGAAGGGGGCTTGAGTTCACGTGTGTGTCCTCTGGATCCCAGCTGGTGTCTGCTCTGGACAGGCTGATCTGGCCTGGCTCATGGCTGGCTTGGTCTGGCCTTTCAAAATCTGTGAGTTTGTGCCCATATGGAGCCTGCAGATGGCAACCCCTTCATCCCGCCCGGGCATCTTCAGGGCAGGAAGCTAGCTTCTAGCACATTCCTAAGACTCTTCATTAGGGCCTATAGGAATTTCCACATCCCTGTCCACCCACAGTCCATCCCTAGGAACAAGGAACACGGCTTTGGGTTATAGCTTTCCTTACCACTCTTGTCTAGTGGGAGAGTGAGGCCTTGCTACTTTTGGAGTTTGCCCAGCTCTGATGCTCTCAGGAATCACTGTAGCCATCAGGCTATTTCTGTAGCCATCAACCCCCCTCCCCCACTGTGAACTTACATTTCTTGCTTTTCAAAGCACATTTAATGTCATTTATTGCTTTTCTCTCAATCCGTAATATCCAAGTTCTTGCTTTGCCAAGTATGATTTTTTAGAACACAAACTCTGTATTGGTGAGAAAGATGGGTCTATCTGCCTACCTACTCACGCTCACACCAGGCAGATTCTTTGTTATATATTTGGACTTACTAGCTTGTGAAAACTTTTTTTAATGTCATTAAAACTATTAGAGACCATCTGTCTTGTGGGTGCATTTATCTAGTCTATAGACAAAAATCCTGTTTTTAATCTGTCTTACAGTGGAAAGTTCAGTTTTTTCCAATATTTTGGTTCCATAAAGAACCACACGAGGAACGTCTTCGTTTCTATGTCATTGTGCACATCAATGATTACTGTGTAAATTACAGGATTATTCAATCACAGGATGAGTGCTTACGTCAGATTATGATAAATAGGGTCCCTGGTGCAAAGGGTGTGTGCATTTTCAAGGCTGATCCGGAGAGGATGTTGAAGGCTGGCCTGATTTGGGACCTGGGCCTCCTTTTGTGGCTGGTTGGTGCTGGAGTGGTCCCCCCAGGCCCCCCCTGCCGCCCCCAGGGCCCGCTGGGCTTTCCAGAGCCCGGAGAGTCTGCAGACACAGACGCAGGTGGGTGTCTGAGAGGCCCTCTTTGTGCCAGGCCGGGAGACTTGCTCTCCTGTGTCACTCATCACAGCCTCCATCTGCTTGTTTGAAAGAGCAGGGTCGTGGTTTCTCTCTGTGGGCAGGAATTCATCCATTGTTGGTAAACGGCAAAGGGCACCCTGTGAGAGTCTCATGAAATAAATATTTCCCTGTGAAGTTATGCTTGGTGTGTGTGTGTGTGTTTGAAGATAGGTCCTTGGGGCAATTTAAACACAAAGACACAACAGTTACAATGTGAATTCTAGGTGAGTTTCAAGTACAGACTTGGAATGGCTCTATTTCCAACCCCAAATATTTAGGGCCATTTCTCTTCTAGAAGTTACTTAGCAGTCTGCCCAGAGGGGAACTGGCCTTTGTGCGTTCCTCCTGGCAGCAGTCACATCTAAGGGACTAGGGCAGCCCGGGGGCCCCCTCGTCCACGTGGGTAAGTGAACCTTGCTCACTGCCCTGCTGTGGGCACAGTCCCTTTGGGCAAGTTAATGAGGCCAAAGACAGAGATGACCCAACCAACTCAGCTGCTCAATCCCAAGGTGACCTTGTGGTCTAAATGCAACCTCCCAGAGTTTTTTCCTGGAACTCTTGTTTATGAAAAATTCATTTACCTTTTTCTTCTGCTTTCTTTGTTCTGTGCATACCATCTTCCTGAGAACTCTCAGTTCAGGGCAGAGGGAGGTGGTGATTCTTTTCAAGCTTTCATGAGTAATGTGTCCAGAAATTTTTGAACTGGAAAATGAATTACTGCATGCCATGGTCTATTAATAGGATTTTTAAAGCTCAAAAGGAAAAGAAAATGGAGTGTTGTTTATGGTTACAGTTTCAGTTTTGCAAGATGAGAAAGTTCTAGCGATCTGTTTATCCACAACAGTGTGGATATACTTAACACTACTCAACTGGACCCTTGAAGATGAGGTTAGGATGGCAAATTAGATATGTATTGTACCACAATTAAAATTTTTTTAATTCAAAAAAATTTTATTATCCTTTTTTCTTTCAAAGTTACCTATTTGCGCATAGTTGACACACAACATTACATGAGTTTCAGGTGTATAGCATGGTGATTACGCTGTGCTCACCATGACTGTAGCTCCCATCTGTCACTGTAAATGCTGTTGCAGGATCAGGGACTGTGTTCCCAATGCTGTGCCTTTTATTCCTGCGCCTTATTCATTGCAGAACTGGAAGCCTGGATCTCCCGCTCCCCTTCACCCTTGTTTGTCCCCAACCCCCACCCCCTCCCCTCTAGCAACCACCGGTTTGTTCTCTGTACTCATAGGCCCGATTCTGCTTTTTGTTTGCTTGTTTATACATTTGGTTTTTTAAGATTCCACATGTGAGTGAAATCATACGGTACTTGTCTTTCTCAGTCTGACTGACTTCACTTAACGTGATACCCTCTCAGTTGTTCATTATTTAAAAAGTGAAAAAAAAAAAAAAGTCGGGGCACCTGGGTGACTTGGTTAAGCGGCTGACTCTCGATTTTGGCTCAGGTCATGATCTCAGGGTCCTGGGATCAAGCCCCACGTCAGGCTCCACGCTCAGTGGGGAGTCTGCTTGAGATTCTCTCCCTCTCCCCCTGCCCCTCCCCACTCCCCTCTCTGTCTCTCTCAAATAAATAAATAAAAGTATAAAGAAGTCCTCTTCCCCACATTTGAATGGACTTGCCCATTTTGGATGAACGTGAATAAAGATCTATGCATATCAGAAGCTGGGGAGAGCTTCCTAAGATACATTTTTAATAATGAATATTTCAGGTTAAGACACATGCTGGCTGACTTCAAGGTCACAGAGTTGGTGGTTTTCAGCTATTTTGCTGTTGTAAACAATACTGCCATGTGTGCTCTCTGTTTCTGGAAAGGGCCCCATCGCTCTGCCTGCGATTTCCCCACAGGACGACAGGAGCGTACCCAGGGGCCCGGGAAATGACTTTCAGGGCCGGGGATGGCCGTGCTTGAGCCCTGGTGCTGCTGAGCGGCTACTCCTGTGAAGGTGTGATTCCGACCTCCCTGGGGAAAGCGCCACTCCTCCCGCCTGGTGTTCCCTTCCCCCGGGTCCGAGTGACTGCCCTCCATCTGCACAGGGCTGAGGTGTCTGGGGTTCTTGGATTCAACTCAGGACCTTGTGAGGAGCTGTGCGGACACCTGGGGACAGGAGCTTGTTTGTCCTGCGGCATGGAGGCGCTGCTAAGGGCAAACGCCCCACAGTCATTCCTGTGGGTGGACCAGGACCGAGGGACACGCTGCATCTCCTTCCTTCCTCCTCATGCACATGCCCTCCCAGGCATAAATCACTGAGAAAATATTCCAATCATAAGACCACCACCTCTCTGGCTGACCTGTTTCAGCCAGCCCCACCCCCGTCTCATCAGTATGGAGAAATCAGGAGAAAGATGGGCTCCGTTGGGTTAGCAGAGCTGCAAAAGACTTCGTCAATCTAGTTGCTTTGCTACCTTCCACTTTTCTTCACAAAGCCCACAGTTTGCATACCTACTCATCCCATGGAACTGGTCATTATTTTGGGCCCTGGCCTAGGTTTTTTTTTTTTTTTTAATTTATTTGAGAGAGAGAATGAGATAGAGAGAGAGAGCATGAGAGGGGGAAGGATCAAAGGGAGAAGCAGACTCCCCGCCGAGCAGGGAGCCCGATGCGGGACTCGATCCCGGGACTCCAGGATCGTGACCTGAGCTGAAGGCAGTCGCTTAACCAACTGAGCCACCCAGGCGCCCCTGGCCTAGGTTTTGAAAAGACAGGCATCAGAACAAAAGTTGCCAGGGCCCTTAGTTTGTCTTGCTTTGCTAAGCGTGAAGTGTTCAGCCTCTTTCGGATGAAACTAGAAGCACTCATGGGAAGGGCTATGTCCCAGCTGCAGGCTGCCTTCGTTGTTACTGGTTGCCCAGGCCTTGTGTGATCTGAAAAAAAAGAGAAGAATTCATGTGCCTTTCAGGGAAGCTGGGTGCACAGAAAGGGCATGAGCTCTGGCCTAGATCAGGTTCATGGTCTCCCATCATCCCCTGGCACCTGTGGTCTTGAGTAACTTGTGGAAATGCTCTATGCCTTGCTTTTCTCGTGTCTGAAGTGGAGATAAGAGCTTCCCTATAGAATTGGGACTAAGTGTTTCCACTCCTGTGTCGCCCTTTCCTAAAGCATCCCCGTGGGATGACTCAAGCCCTCCCTGTGTACCTATGGAAGATCCCGAGTCTCCTTTCCCCTCCTGCCCCCCGGTATTTCTGGGGCTACCTGGGGTGGTCGCCTGCACTTGCCAGGGTGTTGCTTTCTGCCTCCTGTTTCCCATGCCTTCTCCCAGCGCTGCTCCTGGTCAGCTCACGCCAT